TCTGGCATCGGCTTTGTGCCTTTGGCCATGTAGAGCATGACTCGTATCACTTCTGGTATTGACATATAGCTATGTAGGGCTGAAAGCCTGTATATTCTAGCAAATTGATAATCAGAATTTGTGTATTTTCTTTGCCACGTTGGCTCAAGATTTGTTGATGTATATCAAGTTGAAATTGTTATGTCTCATTGATTGTTAATCTTGGAATCAAATCATTGGTTGATGTAGAAAGCCTGACTTATAATTCACATATGCCTTTGTTGATCTTTGTTCCTCTTTTCTTCTACCATATTGATATATATATATATATATATATATATATATATATATATATATATATATATATATATATATGGCATAACGTTATATTTTATCTATTTTCGAACTCACTAAGTGCCACCGCTTATCCCTCTCAGTGTTTAACAATTGTAGGTAATAAGTATCCAGTATAGTCATGTACTATTGGAAGATACGAACTTGACCATCGGAGGCCGCTCCTAGGATGTAACTCCTGGGGCGACTCTAACGATCTCGTTTGTGAGCGTAACAGGAATCAAATCAGGGCTTGCTAGCGGCAACGAAGATCATATCCAAGATCTCGACTCATGACAATTTTCGGGTTACTTTTCAAGTGGTGCCATGGGACGACGAGCAAATAGCTAGTGCTCATTTCTTCATCTCTTCAAAGGTCCCTACAGATCTGTTCTTTAAAAGGATTATCTATAGAAATGGGTTCTGCAGAGTGCAACACGATCCAAAGATCTTTTCTCTAAGGTTATGTTTCCTAAAATCCCATATGTGGCAACTTTACTTTCTTATTTGCTCAACAACCTACATATGTATTCCATTCAAAATTTTGTTTCTTATAAACCCAAGTTCTTCCCATGAAATATGGAATTAATCTAAAGTCGCATTAGTAATAAAATTCCTCTATTATGGACATAAAATTCTTCCAGAAAAATAGCACAAACAGTTATGCAATACAAAGTTGTACAACCAGTGTTTCAAGAAGTAATTTGATGTGGTTTAGCAACAATAAAACCAAAAGAAGCAAAGTTTCAACGGACATCTATTATAAATGAGCATTGTTTTGCTAATACTATTCAATTAGTAGTAAAAAATCCAGAAAAATAAGCTTTTTTCCAAATATAAAATATTGGACATTTTGTGATAGAAGCCTGTTTGAGAGGGCTAGTCTCCCAAGAATCAGAGAAGAACACAGAAGACTTGAAGCAATTTTCTCGATATATTCCTCTAATGACATTATAATGCATATTAAATAAGAACTGATGCTAACAAAAAGGGAAACATGCCTTAAGACTAGGAAAACAGGAAGTGGTCTAACTACGTGCAAATGCATAAAGAATCAGTCAAGCACTAGGGTTAGCTGATCTTTTTATTAACGAAAACGAGCTGGAAGGACTTCACTTGGGCCTTGCGTTGGACTCTTCAGGTGGAGGTGGTTTTTCTATAGTTGGGCTCGTATCAATACCCCGCCCATAAGGATTGACCTTGTCCTCAAGGTCTAAAATTGTTGCTGCAACTAGGTGACAAGGAATTGGAAGAGTCCCCATCAAGGTGATAGTCTTATTGTTCTGCTGTAATGTGAGGGACGGCACGGAAAAGTTGGACGTGATCGGGCCTAAGGAACTTAACCAATCGAACCCCAGAATAACATCGGAGCCTTTAAATGGAAGAACAAACAACTGGACTTTAAATGAAGCTTCTTTGAGTGTGAGGGTAACGTACGTGAAATAGTCGGTGCAAAGGAGCGGTTCGCCATTGCCGATGAGGACCAGAAAGGTTGAGGCGGTGTGGACCAGGAAGTGCAACTCAACAGCTACTCCAGGCTGAATTAGATTGTGAGTACTGCCTGAATCAACAAGAAATTGACGCGGTTTGTGGTTGACAAATCCCGTGAGACGTAAGGTTGTAAGGGGTGCAATTCCATAGAATATTGTTGGGGAGAGAGCTAGAAAGTGTGGAGTGTTAGGTGCCTCTTCTAGAACAGGGACGTGCGGTTGTGTAGTAAGTTGAGGGGCTTCGAAGTCATTGTCAACTATGACCAAGAACTGTGGTGGGTCACATTTGTGGCCGGGGTGGTACATGGCGGGGCAGCGAAAACAAAGACCGGAGGCATGACGTTGTTGGAGTTGTTCGGGTGACAGGTGGGCAGTCGGTGATGGCGGTTAGTTGTTTGAGTTAAAGAGGGAGGCTTGGTGGTTTTCATAGTCTGAAGGACCGAACCGGAGTTCGAGAGCCCGGGAAAATTCTTGCCACGTACCCAAAAGTTGGTTGTTTGCAAGGTACTTATACCAACTCAAGGCATCGTCGGTGAAGTAAAATTAGGCCAAGGAGAGGCGTTGTGGTGGTGGAACGGAGTAATAGGTGATGTAGTTTTCAGCTTGAAAAAGCCAATCGAGGGGATTGGAGCCATCAAATGTCGGAAGGTGAATTTTAGGTGGTCGAGGGTTGTTGTGCGGTGGCGGCGGCGGTTGTGGCCCGTTGATGTTGTTGGGTGGAAGGAGTTTAGCAATGTTGATCAAGGCCTCAGTTTATTTAGCGATATTCGTGGCTTGAGTAGCGAGATGAGTGGTGATGGTGTCGAGGCGGTGGTTGGTGGCGGTGGAAAGATGGATTAAAACCTACAGTTGATCCGGGAGGATGACATTGGGGTTGTCTGGGGTGGCCTTGGGGTTGTCGGAGGTGGAGTCGGATTCGGTTTTAGGAGGCATGAGGACGAAGATGAAAGCACCAAATTGATAGAAGCCTGTTTGAGAGGGCTAGTCTCCCAAGAATGAAAGAAGAACACAGAAGACTTGAAGCAATTTTCTCGATATATTCCTCTAATGACATTACAATGCATATTAAATTAGAACTGATGCTAATGAAAAAGGGAAACATGCCTTAAGACTACGAAAACAGGAAGTGGTCTAACTACGTGAAAATGCATAAAGAATCAGTCAAGCACTAAGGTTAGCTGATCTTTTTATTAACGAAAACGAGTTGGAAGGACTTCACTTGGGCCTTGCGTTGGACTCTTCAGGTGGAGGTGGTTTTGCTGTAGTTGGGCTCGTATCATTTTGTTTAGCTGGAAAGGGAGTCAAATTATGTAATATCATGTCAAATTTATCCACTACAATACACTGCATGCGACTGTCCCTATAAAAACAAAAGCAGTGCGCATATCATGCCATCTTTATTATACACTAAACAAATTCTTGTGTCGTTGCATGATGCGGGTTAAAAATATATTATTAGAATATTGAAAAATATATGTTTATAATGGTGATGTTATTGGCATTAACGTTGACATAATATTTTTACATTAATATATATATATATATATATATATATATATATATATATATATATATATATATATATATATATATATATATAATCTCAACTATTTTGAACAATAATATTCATTGACATCAACTCACCTTCCTCAATAATAGAACTAAATATAATTATCTATTTAGTATTATTTTTAACAGTTTTTATGATTGATTAATTTAAATTTTAAACTATTCAATTATTTTCTAATTTTATTAATGATGTTTATTTAAATACAGTTTATTAGTAGCTATGTTATGTAATTTATAATTTGATTTTATTATCATTTAAAATTATTGTTCCTTAATTTTAAACCACTTATTATTATTAATAAGTTAAAGAAAAACTTTTAAGATACACTTAATATTATTATTCAAATATGAAACATATACTATATAATAAATTGATAAGATTGACAATTTGCATTTCAAAAGAGCCTTGTATGGATAATATGACATATCCATGATTTTTATGATTTGATTTTATTATTTATAACTATTGTTTGTTAATTTTAAAACCACTTATTATTATTAGTACGGGAAAGAAAACTTTTACAAATCACTTATTATTATACTTAAAATGATAAACATATATACTAAAATATAAAGTGATAAGATAGACAATTTGCATTTTAAAAGAGAGTTACATGGATAATATGGATAATATGACATATCCATGATTTTTAATTAATTATTGCTTTGAAGCAACACAAACATACAAACATATATACAATATTTAATTAAATATTATCTATATCACATTCCATAACGTATGATCGATAACATAAATCTAATCTAATTTACATAAAAATTTCAACCACAACATAAAATGATTGTCTTAAAAGAATGAAAAAACATCATAAATGGTCCCTGTGGTTTCCCTAAATCAAAAGTTTAATCCTCGTGGTTTAAAAACATCATAGATGGTCCATGTGCTTTCAAAACTTTTGATGTTTGGTCCTTTTTGCTAACTCCGTTAGCTTTCCACCGTTAAATGAAGGGTATTTTTGTCATTTAACTATCTAGGGACCTTTAATGAGGTTTTCTTTTCTTTTCTTTTTTTAAATTAAATTTAATATCCAAGGTCTCTCTCTCTCTCTCTCTCTAAAACATGTACACACAAACTTAAACATCTCTCCACCTTGATCATCTGATCATCATCTTCGTTATTAAAGGGTCATTTCTGATCTCCATCCCCTTATCAATGACCTCAGAAGCATCCATTACCACTATCATCGCGCAAGAAACCATTGATCCCCTTCTCTCTATCATGTGTTTTAGTTTCTCTTTATAGCTAGGTTTTGATAATTTTGAAAAGTGATGTCTAATTCCATATCGTGAAGCTATGAAACAAGAAACAACCAGGTTGGGGCGTGAACGAATTAAAGTCATTGGGGAATTTCCACAAATAGTTGGTGTGCAGCTTAAGAAGTTTACAATGGAATCTTTGTTTTTACTTCTAATTGAAATCCAAATTGTAGGTGAACTCAATACAAAAAAAATGTACAATAAAGTAAAATGAAAATATATACATAAAAACGAATTTATGATTTCTTGAATCAATCTCTTATACCCATGTCTAAGGAATCAGTCATGGGTTAAAACACAAAACAAAGAAACATACTGATTTTATTCCCTTTCAATTGCGTTTTCGGGGATCCTCTATAGATTGTCAACGAAGACAGAAGATGAGTCCACAACCGACCGAGTTACAGAGGCGGTGTTGTTCACAAACGAATCATCGATAACAGATGGTCGATTTGTGGGGTTCAACTCACAAATCATTGATTTAAGATGTGAATGGTTATAATGAATAGAATTAGAAGCAAGCTGGGACAACCCATCATCGTTCTCCAAAACACCCTCCAGATGCTTGATCTTTTGTGCAATATCAGCCATATCACACGACTTAATTTTGTAACCAATCACCACCAACAGCTCATCAACGTTGGAATCTTGATCTTCAACCTTATCCAACAGCTTCGATTTCCCGATCACATCTGGAAAAACAGAAAGTAGAGGCAACAACGGTAGAGGAGAAAGTGGAATTGTCGCCATCATAGAAGGTGTAATCTTGTTGTGGGTAATCTCGTTCCATTTTTTTTCATCTTCTTAGAAGAATTTGAGCATTTATTGGGCGATGGTAGTGCTAATGATTATATAGGGAAAAGAGGGTGAAGAAAAGAGAAGTGGATTGAGGTTCTGTGCTCATGTCTTGAAGAGAGAGAGAGAGAGAGAGAGAGAGAGAGAGAGAGAGAGAGAGAAAGAGAGGGAGGGAGAGGGAGGGAGAGAGAGAGAGAGAGAGACCTTTTATATATTTGATTATGTTTATTTTTTTTTTAAATACGAGAAAACATCATAAATGGTCCCGTGTGGTGGTGAAATGATGAAAATACCCTTCAGTTAATGGACAAACTTAACAGAGTTAGCAAAAAGGATCAAACATCAAAAGTTTTGAAAACACAAGGACCATCTATGAGGTTTTTAAACCACAGGGACTAAACTTCAGATTTTGGGTAACCACAGGGACCATTTATGATGTTTTTTCTAAAAGAATACTTAAACAAAGAAAAATAAAATAAAATAAAGAATTAGTATGTAACAAACTTACAAATTAAATATTTTAACATAATAACATGGCTCTAAAACGGTCCAAAAACCCTCAAACCAACACAAACACCTTTAGACTTGTTTTCTTTGTGAATTTTGTATATGATTGGTATTTGTATGTCTACTCAACGATATTGGCCTTTTATAGTAGACTATCCATTAATTGCTTATTAAACATATTATATAAGTTATAAAACATTTGAATGATTAATCATTATTAAGAGACTTTTGAGTGGTATTCTTCAAATAATATGTTTCAAATGGATATTGTTTGAGTAACATGCATAATGGGAGTTTCAAATGAACGTGGTGAAAGGAAAAATGCTTCATTTGTACGGATAATATGACACATCCATGATTTTTATAATTTGATTTTATTATTTATAACTATTGTTTGTTAATTTTAAAACCACTCTATTATTAATAAGTAAAAGAAAACTTTTAAAAACACTTATTATAATATTGAAAATATTAAACATATATTAAAATATAAAGCAATAAGATAGACAATTTGCATTTTAAAAGAGACTTACATGGATAGTATGTCATATCCATGATTTTTAATTAATTATTGCTTTGAAGAACCAAAAACATACAAACATATATACAATATTTAATTAAATATTATGTATATCACATTCCATAACATATGATCGATAACATGAATCTAATCTAATTTATATTAAAATATCAACCACAACATACAATGATTGTCTTAAAAGAATACTTAAACCAAGAAAAACAAAATAAATAAAGAATTAGTATATAACAAACTTACAAATTAAAAATTTTAACATAATAACTATAACATACAAGTTCTGAAATTGTGTATTGTTATTATTAAAAGTAAATAAAATTGAATGTTGAGTTCTAACAGCTAGTTTTTACTAGAAATGAAGTAAAACTATGTTTAGAATCACTCATAAAATATTGGAAGTCTTATGAGATTCCAATTAATAGCCAAATAGTGAAATTTAGCGATAACATAAAATTTGAAATAAGTAAAATTTTATTATTTGATTTTGTAAATCATCTCGTTAGAAACTTGTAGGCGAAAACCTTGTTGAAATCCGAGTTATAACGAAGAAGTTATGACCAACCGAAGATCTGCGACAAAAGCGGCACGGCGCCGAATGACGGAAAAAGGTGAGTTTTTGATAAACTACTTTTTAGACTTAGAAATCTAAATGAAACTCATAGTATTCGTTAAACCGAGAAATTCGATGAAAAGAACGCCAAAATCTTACTTCGTATGAGGAAGTTATGATTTTTCGAAGTTTCAACTTAGCAGTAGATAGCTATAAACTCGAATTTTAGATCGAGCGATATTTGACTGGTACATCCTAAACGAGAATCGAAGGTCTCGTCATATGTAGTACAACGGTAAAAAGTCTGACGAAAACAGATGTCGGATGAAGAAGTTTTGAATTTTTAACGGATTTTCCTGTCCCGGTCTGTTAAAAATAATAATATTAAAATTAAAGTCAAAATTAGCTGACGAAGTCTAAACAAAAGTTATAGATCGTAATTTTATCTATGCGTGCATATAAAGAACATCAAAAACGGAGCTTGTATGCGAAAGTTATGGATTTTAGAAGTTCGGGGCACATTTTCCGAAAAATCTCGCATGAATAGTACTAGCCATGTCACCTCGCACACGTGCGTCATCGGAGACGTGGCCAAATCCGAAGTCAGCAAGTGTCACAAGAAGATTCGCTCAGGCCGAGGTCCAGCATGAAGGGGACACGTCTCGCATCGGTGGCCAGTCCGACACGAGACACGTCTCGCCTACCCGCCTCACACCCGGTGCCACGTCCGAGCCTCGCAGTGGCCTCGTGGCCTTCGCTCCTCCTGCTAGATGTCCGAAGCTTGCAGGTGCACGTCTTCTCCCCTCCTCTCGCTTCGTGGCCTTCGCTCCAGCAGCCACGTGCTCGCTTCTTAACCACAGGATTCGAGCCTCTCGCCTATAAATAGGAGGCCTGCGAGCCTTCTCGGGTAATTTTGAGAAATTGCCATTTTTGGCCCCTTTTTCCATATTTTCACTATTTATACTTTTCCCAAAGCCCCGGTATCAATTTTAGCACCCGAAACACGTCCCGAGACCCCTGAGAAGCCCGAAAATTTTATCTTTTCGGTTTTGAAGCCTTACCTTCGCAGAGCCCGGTTTTCAATTAAGCTCCCGGTTTTCAACATAGAAAGACATATTTAAAGCCGAAATGATGTCCAAATTACTATTTTAACCCCCGGTTGACTTAAGGTGATTTCAATATATAGGAACAATTGTATGTTATGTGTTATATGTGCTATGTGCTTCTCAGTGTTATTATTCTGAGTTATTCTCCCGTGTTATTTTATTCGCTATGTTTATAGCAATTATAAAACCTTTGACCATGTGATCAGTGAAAGGAATTAGATTCACATTGGTACTGGTACGTAACCTCTATCCATGTAGAGCATGTCTCCATAAGAGAATGACTTCTATTCTATGGCATTGGCATAAGGTTTGATAGGAATGGTATGTAGCCTCTGACCATGTAGAGCATGACTCCATAAGAGAATGAACTCTATTCTATAGTATTGGCAAATGGTTAGACAGGGCTATAAGCCTGAAATCTACCAAAATGTTCATTAGAAATTATATGTCTTCTGTGCCAATTTGGCCAAAGCTTTATTGATGCATATCAAGTATTGAAATTGTTATGTCTTATTGAAAAGTATATCTTTGAATAAAGTCTTTGATTGATATGAACACTTGTCACATGATTTCACATATGTTTTCTTGCTCCCTTTTGCTTCCGTCATATTGGTATATGTAAGGCATAAGATTATATTGTATCTATCTATTGAATTCACTAAGCGTTATCGCTTATTCCTCTCAATATTTAACAATTGCAAGTGATGAGTATTCCATTATAGCATTATACTACTGAAAGATTTAGAATAGTTAATAGTATTTCTCTATATTTTTAATGTTCATGTATGTATATGAATAGTAGATTCCTGGGTAGACATGAAATTGTAATAAAACTTAGTCGGTTTGTATCTAATCCTTTGTAATCACTTTATCAATATAAAATATTGTTTTATAAATATGCATGTAGCATGTTTTGAGGAAGTAACTTAAGAAATCTTTTGAAATAGTATGAAAGTTTGAGTTTTTCATAAATACGAAAGTTGGGGTCTTTCAATAATATAGCTCGAAAAATGGTCAAAAGTTCTCAAACCAACATAAAAACCTTTAGACTTGTTTTCTTTGTCAATTTTGTATGTGATTGTTATTTTTGTGTCTACTCAAAGAGATTGGTCTTTTGTAGTAGACTATCAATTAGTTGCTTATTAAAAATATTATATAAGTTTTAATACCTATGAATGGTTAATCATTATTAAGAGACTTTTTAGTGGTGTTCATTCAAATAAGAGGTTTCAAATGAATATGGTTTGAGTAAAATGCATCATGGGAGTTTCAAATGAAAGTGGTGAAAGGAAAAATGATTCGTACATAAGTATATAAAGACATTTTCCTCTTATTCACTGAGCTGAATGGTTAAAAGGAAAATTACTGAAATACTCCCTGTAGTTTGGTTAAAACTACTAGTTTGGTCCCTATGGTTTTTTAGCAATCTCATACAAATTCGCCGTTATCAAAGCTTGCACAAGTGTCGAATATCTTGTAGAAAAGTTTATTTTTAAGTATGCATCATGTTATCCTATTGCCGTGAACCAATCATAAACAGAGATGAAGATGCTCATAGTTTTTTATTTGGAATTACTGAAATCATTTCACCTCTACTTTCAATTTCTATTAGCAAAAATATATATATACAAGAAGATCGATCTTTGAGCTATCAAATCACCTTCTAACAATTCATGGCAAACCATCAGTGCCATCCATCGATCGAATCAGAGGCAGAGCTATGAGAGGGCCCAGGGGCCATGGCCCCTTGATTTTTTGCATTCTAATACATATGTTATATATAATAATAGATTTATCAGTTTCCTAACGTCTGGCCCCCACGATCTATTATATATAGTAAGGATACTCCGTAATTGAAAAAATTATTTATAAAAGTAATTAATGAATATTAAATAATCAACAAATCGGTTATCTTCGATTATTATGCACATAAATTAGTTCCAACAGAAGCCAGAAATTTGTTGAAAAAAATCAATAACACTTCTAATAAAACTAGGATACTGATTTTATTAAACTAAAACTCTATAAAAGAAAACCAAACAACAAATTTAACATCCAAATTATTAACAAGATAAGAGATCATCAAACTTGCTTCTTCCGGAAATCATACCCACAGCCAGAGTGCTCATCCACTGGAGTCACCCTAAAATCCACCGCCTAAGTTCGCACGGGAAAAAAAAACCATTGCCGGAAAACATACCTCATGGGTCTCCAGTCAACACTGCCCTTGCTGATCTGTTACTCTGACCAACATTGC